TATGTACCATTTGACGTGATCCGTTTAGCCCTGGGCTTTGCATCTGGTATAGAGAGGGATGTGAGAGATCTATATGTACCGAAAGATTTTCATGTGTCGAATACTTACTCTATCATATGTTGCACATATTTTCGACGGGAGGGTCTGGTTGTATGATACATCACGTGGCAGACTGTAGGAATACATGAGGACAGAGTCTCCTGGATCCGTTACATGCTACCAATAAATGTGGATGGTTATACATACATAGGCTCCAATACAACAAACAAGCGCCCCAGCTCGCACTCTCTTGGTAAACACGCCTAAAAAACAACGACGCATGTCCGCGGGCACACGCCAAAAGCAGACAAGCCCCGGACCAACACCAGCTCGGGCAAAGCCATGCAGTTTATGTTGTTTCTCGCGCCCCCTGGGTGAACGCTAAGCTTTTTCACGTTCTTGGGCTAAATAAAACCTAGAGGCGTGGACCACGGGGAGGGGTAAAAATGGCATACGTAGACAGGCCACACATACATAGGTCGCATTGCAAAAAAGGATTGCTGGCGTGAGAACTTGCTTCATATCGTAGTGTTGGAAACTTTGCTGGGAAGCTTCAGTGGCACCGGCCGTTCTGTAACTAGCGAGGAGTGCGGTGGTATTTCGTCAAGATGAGAAGCACTACTTCCCTTGAATGGATATTTCGTTTGCTGACATAACAGGTTTTCCCGCCGATCCCCCCGCTTTGATCGAACCCCGTCTTTGCCAGCCGTTGGGGAGGCCTTCAAACGCACCGAAGTTGTGACCGTCCTCCGCCTCCCGCTAACTTAACACAGGCTCGTGGGTCGTGTGTTCGGAGGCCTACCCAACGGCCGACCAGCCCGGCGCTCAATTTTAGCGGGGGTATTGGCGGGAAAACCTGTTCTATGCTAAGTACCAAGGTTTCGTAACGATCGAGGAGTGCGATGATATTTCTTCCACGTGGGAAGCACTGCTTGCCTTGGATGAATACCTTTATTGCTGACACCGATGCTGCGACCCTCCCCCCCCCCCTCAATTCAACAGGCTTGTGGGAAGGGTTTTCGGGGGCCTCCCGAACGGCCGGCTTGGACGGCATTCGGTGAAGGCGGGGAGATCGCCGGTTGACCCCGGAACGGAACCGTCGACTCCATGTTCTTCTTTCCCGGACCTCGGGAACATGAACACGTGGGAGACTCCTCCTGTCTCCCAGAGAGAAGGTGAGTGAGTTAGTTTACGAAAAAAAGCGGCCGATCCACGCAAAACCTCAATGCACAACCAACAAACTGGGGTTTAGACCCGCTGCCACTCGCTGACTTTGCGTTGAGTGTTCTATTTTCCAAAACCGCATGCCCCCCCCCACCCCCAAATCATCCATGATTCTGCCTGTTTGGTTGGTTGCTATGCCCCAGGATAGGATGGTGTCGACGGGGTCGACAAACATGCGCGGATACCGTTCTGTTGTTTTGCGGCAAATTCCGTCTTGTGTCCTGTCTATCCCTGTCGGGGTCATGTTTAGCTGCGGGCGATACGGTATTGTTTTGCATTTTCGAATGGAAACACCATGCAGTCCTCTTGGTATCCGTGTGTTGTTTGTCAACAAGCAACCGATACGTGTTTCAATGGCGACTGCTGCCTTGAAACAAGAGGCGCTGCCATGCAGGTAACCCTAGTACAATAGTATGCGCACGATCTATACCCCGAATATTTGATCACATCAATCAGTAACTGCTCTGCAGACCCCCCCCCCCCCCCTGACGGACATCGCTTTTGTGGTTGGCGTTGCCTCTGTTTCTCAACCCTTGCTCCTGGACCCTGTATTTTCCGTCGATGTTGACGTTGTCATCCAAAACAACCAGACGCCGGTGTGAACAGCACCGCCGACAGCGTCCAAGGCGGTGGGGTTGACACCGCCGCCGTCCCCTTCGCCCGCTGCTCCTACGGGGCTGGAGGGCCTAGGAGACCCTGTCGTTCAGGAACGACTCATGAGGGAAACGATACTTGTATCCCTCCTTGAGCCCCCCGACATCGAGGCCACGAGGGCCAACAGGAAGGCCGAGGGCAGCGGGATGATCGGCGGGGAGGTGTATGCCGGCAGTCCGGAAGCAGCTGCCGCATCCATAGCGGTCGGTTACAGCTGTACCTACATCGCCAGTGAGACGGTGACTATCGAGAGCTCTGTGTCTCCCCTAGACATCCCCTCGCCGGCGGCGGCGGGAGCGGCGGCGGGAGCAGGGGGAGCGGCGACCGGTGACGGCCTTGGCGGCGCGGCGTCACCGCCGGGTGTTGGTGGAGGCGGGGGCGACGCCAGCGGTGGTGTTGGTGGCTACGGCCACGGTGTTGGAGGTGGAGGGCAGGCTGCGGACTCCCTGACCATGGTAAGAAGTAGCCTGTTAGTATTTGAATTGTCGCTTCAACAATACCTTTGTAACGGTCGTTCGTGTTTTTGAGTACAATGTCGAGGGTCGTGGATGTGGTTTTGTTTTTCCTGGAATATTGTTGTCGGCTAGACGGTGCGGCGTCGTACCATGCGCCGACCTTCGGGATTATGTTGAAATAAGGTCGTAACTTTAAGAACAACCTGCTTGCCCACCTCCTCTCGAACCTTCCCACCGTTCCGAACCCCCCACCCACGTGCACCCCGTCCGTGCAGTTCGACGCTGCGATTCAACCGCCGCCATCCAGGGACACGGGCGTTTTCGACGGCATCGTATCCGACTCCTTCCACGGTCTCTTCGACAGGCAGGACTCGATCTTCCACTCGTGGCCGTCGCCGCCCCGCGCACCGTCCTCGCCACCACGCCCGCCGCCGCCGCCGCCGTCGCGATCACCGCCGCCCCCGCCGTCCCCGCCATCCGAGCCGCTGCCGCGTTGCGCGCCTTCGCCGGACAGTCACACGTGGCAGCAGCAGCAACAGCAGCAGCAGCGGCCTAGGCACGGCACCGCCGGACTGCCGTCTACCTTCTATCCCGACCGCATCGGTTTGGGATGGAGTGCCAGCCGCGGACAAGAGATGGCGTCGCCAGCACCGCCGCCCCCGCCGTCCCCGCCGTCCGAGCAAGTCAACCTCGCGGATTCCGCCGCGTGGCTGTTCGTCGTCGGCTCCGTGCTGCGAGAGGGAGTGTTAATGGGTGCTGCTGCCGCTGCCGCTGCTGCTGCTGCTGCTGCCGCTGCTGCCGCTGCCGCTGCTACCGCAGTCTTGGACGTGCCCACCCCGGTCCCCGTCGCCGTCGACAACACATAGGGGGGCCGCGGCGGTGGCGGCGGTGGCTGCGCTGACGACGTCGCTGCTCCGTCGTTGACGAACGCCTTCACCACGTGGTTCCGGTCTGCCCGTTCGCCGAGCCCGGCGAAGGGGGGGATCTGCCGGGCAGTGAGAGCGGTGTCGGCGACATTGTCGTCGTTGGTGTGTCCGTGCTTCGAGAGGATGAACGATGAAGACGACGACGACGACGATAGCCAGAGCGAGAGGGAGTAGAACCGCGGAAAAGAAGGATGCGAGAGCGAGGGCGTCGACAGACACAACCAAGTTGCGGGGTGCGCCAGAAGAGCACAGGTTGTCTGTCTAGATGAACGGCGGGTACGTCCATAGTACATGTAGTTCTGACACGGGCATCGCGGCCCAAAACGACGGGAGATAGTAGCGACCTTTGTTTGGTGCAACTTTTCACGGCACAGTCTTCTACGTAGGAGTGGGTGAACCTTGTGTATGGTTGATTGGATTGCTGATGACGTGCTCCTCGGATTGGATTATTTCCACTGTATCAAACTGAAGCTTGTAGCTCAGTCTTTGCGCGGTGGTAGCGGTAGATAGCAGCGCGTTGAACAGCGGTCGCCGCTTGACCCGAGGAACGAAATTGGTTACTCAATTTTCTTGCCCCCCTCGTGTGCGTTCGCTGCACTTAACTTCACGTCTATCGTAAGCATTCGAGAATGCAGCATTTTTTGCTGATTTTGTTGCTTTGAAGTATTTTATCTTTTTTTTTCAAGTGTTTTTTTTTTTTTTTTTGTCTAGTCTAGACTAATCGTGAATTAATTTTGTAAGGCAGGGTATGGAGTTTTTCCTCTCCGACCTTGCGATTGCGATGTATGTCTGCTTGACTGCGCGCTTTCCTTGTGAATTGCCCAATTAATCCGGAGAGCGAAGTGATCTCATGTGTTGGAGGTGCTTGGAACTGGATGTGTTACGACCTCTTCAACTACATAGACGATATGGCCCCGTTGACGAGGTTGAACTACATGATGTACCGTAGATAGGCACCACACCGATCGGTGCACAGACTGTTGTGTGTTTCGATTCTTCCTGTGTTTCGCTTGTTTATCAACAGTGTGATTTAATTTAGCGCAAACAAGACCGCGGCCGCGGCTCCGCGCTGTGTGCCCGGCATTGGGACCTACACTACTAGAGAATAACCTTTTCTTCGGGGGAACCTGTAGCGTGGGTTCCTCGTGACTGCACTACTTTACTGGTGCTGATCGCTGATCGGCGCACAGCAATCTTTGGTGGTGTAACTGTGAGGGGGAGGGAGGGGATGTAATATACACTGACTATAAGGAGTAGCCTACAGCCCGAATATATTCATTAGTCAAGTAGAGTGGTGGATTGAAGGGCCCTGTAGCGGGGGCTCCTCGGGACTGAGTCAACCTGGGTACGTTGGCGCAGTTATCTGGGACGGGAACGGGTTAATTAATGGTACGGGTACAGGTGTGGATGTGGGTGTAGAGCTCGAGATGGGGGTCAGGACCGGGGCGCTCTCTGTGTGCGTGTGTGTGGCCTCTACCGTCAACAAGTAAAATTGATGTTTCCGACCGGTAACCCCTGCGGTTGCAATCGGCTCTATTCACATGGGTGCATTGTACACGGGTTGTGTGGGCTCGCTCCGGATGGCGCAGCGAGAGTCGAACCTCATGCGCCTGGAGCGGTGGCAAACTCCGGGCTTCGCATGCATGAATCGCCATCTGTTAACGACGATTCCTCACACAATACAAGACAAGCCCATGGCTTTCGGACTACCGAGTTTTCTTTTGTACAACCTCCCCATGAACTCTACCTCTCCCGCCCTCCTCGTCTCTAATGACGAAAATATCTACATACGGAAGCAGGTTCCGTCGAAATCATCATTCACGCCAAAATTACAAACAAAACCGACACGACATGATAGCATCCAAATCATACAAATTCTTCCTACAATCTCCCCCCGTCAAAATCATAGGACCGCCTTCGCGAGAAATAGGTTAATGAGGAAATAGAACAGGGAGGGGATACGCAGACCCTATTCCCTACCCCTATCCCTAACCCAACTTCCCCGATTGCATGTTTTATCCATCATGCTCACCAATCACAAAACATTGTTATCCACCACAGGCTGCTGAAATGTCACAAACCAAGTCTCCCACTTTCTTCCAAAAGCTTATTGGCCCTCTGCCAGGGACGCCACTCGCCGGACCCCCCCCCTGGAGGAAGAAGACGAAGACGACGAAAAGTACCCTATGACGTACGCCGGCGCCTTGCCCACGAAACCCACTCCGTAGTCGGCCCCTTGAGGGAACTCTCCGGGGGTACCGCAGGTCACCCCGTTGAACGACCACCCTTCCGGGAAGTTGGCTGCAAGTCCGGTTTTGATAGGGGGGGGGGGGGGGGGGGTAGCATGCTGTGATAAACTCATCGTCGTCGGGTCTCGAGCCAACCGTCATGGAGACAAACGGCCATGACAACAACAGAAAAAAGTCGAAATGGGCAGCAAGAAAGAGAGTGGGTTGGTCACCTTCGAAGAAGGCCTGGGGGTTGTCGCTGCCCCATTTCCAGCGTCCCATCAGGGGGCTGGCGCTGTTCTGGGCCCGCTCCACGGACTCCGCCGACACGCAGGTGGCGCAAAAGGCGCTGCGATGGAGGATGCCAATGACACAACACACACACACAAAAGAAACAAAGAACAAATGGATGGATGGTAGGAGAATTAGTAGCGCACGGAGGAGGGAATAAAGTCGGAGGGGGTGTTGCAAGTGATACGCGTGTGAAAGACTGCATTTGGTGACCTTTCAAGGGGCCTTCGGCAATACGGGCAATGATCGTCGTCGCTGAGCGAGACGGAATAGGGATAGGGAAGCGCGAAGAAAGCTCCGCAAACAAACAGGGAAGGAGAGAAAAAAGCACCGCGGGAAGACGTGAGAAAACACAACAGGGCCCAGGAGAGAAAGAGCCTAGTCACTCGTCTACATGATCTAGAGTACTCCCGTACAAGAATCCCCGCTTCAGCTATGCCGGCACGATTCCAAAACGGCCCAACAAGATCATGCCCGCTAGAGGTTTCGCAGTAGTGCAGCGGGGTCACACTCTCCCGGTGCCCGGTTTGGTGCCCGAACTTCAACCTTTTGTGTCCTCCATTCCCGAACCGGCCACATAGCTATGGCAACAGTGCGGTTGGGCTTCCTCTCGCCGGTATACCGTACCGCACCATCGCGGGACCCCTTCCGAATGAGGGAAACACAACACAATTCCACATCCAGAACGGCGACCAACCCGTTCAAAGCGTGCCCATGAGCGGTTTGCACAACAAAACAACATGGCATTAACCTACCCGGAGGGGGTATACCTTTTCCTGGAGGGAAAGGCTGCCCCTCGCCTCCAAGCAGCGAATTGGACAAAAATAAACGTGGAATCTACCGGCATGAGGCGAAATTCAATCGGGTTGCACATAGTAAATAACCGTGGTATCAACCGGCAGGCGAGCACACCTTCCAGGGGAGGAAAGACTGGCCAGGACCCGAAGCAATGCCACAAGCTCTTTCTCCTCAAGGTACCTGTTTGGTGACGACAAGAAGGCCAGCGAGGAATGTCATGCGTGGGTCTCACCTTTTCATTTTTACATCACTTACAATCAGCACTCACGGCTTTCTCCTCCCGCCCATTCCTCCTGAGGTGCTTTCCTTCGATTCTTCAAAGGGTTAGGGTTTGGTCCGAAGAAGACATGTCTTGGGACGTCGTCGACTTGTGTGAAGTCCCATCTTCGTTCTCTCCATTCTGCTGTGGTGTCATCTTCATGTAACCGATACCTTCTTATGACGAGTGTACAAGCAAAATCACGCCTGCCAGCACTAAAGATGCACTGCCGATGACAGCAGGCGACCAAAAACCCACAGACACAAAAGCTTGGTAGCAACCACGACAACAACAACTAACAACCGTTCCAAGCATCCTCACATGGTCAGCCCCTCCAAGATCCACGCGCTCGGCAGGCTGGGGTCGAAGCCCGCCTCGAACAGCTCCCCCTGCCACCCTTCCACGCTCAGGTCGGCCTCCACAGGGACAACGCGCCCCTGGCCGACACCGCCGTCCCTCCTCTCTCGAAACCCCGCCAAAGCCGCGGCTACTTCATCGGCCGCCGCCGCCTGCGTGAGAAGGGCGCCCTTGACGCGAAGCACGAGGGCTTGGTCCACCTCGAACACCTGAAGATACGAACAGCAGTGGTGGAGGGAAAAAGAACAAAAAAAAGCGAGAAAGTCACGAAAACAAGGCTGTGTTGGGTTCGAGTTCGAGTTCATTTCCGTGGTTGTAGAAACGCCTCGGTGGTTGTGAAAAACACCCCCTGATTGCTCGCTCGGGTTCGACGCACACCGAGGGTGCTTCAAGAGGTGAAAGGCACGACATAAAAAAATAATAAAATCCAGCACACACGTAGCAAAGTTGTGTCTCAGAAAATCTCGAAGCTCGACATGCTTGGCCTACTCTTCGAACTTGTTCGGGGACCAACCGGAAAAGACCGATAGGGTTGCGTTTCGAAGCAACGCTGATGAGTGTGCACGGTGCCAAGCTCGCCCGCACGGTCAGCTTTCAACGCCTACTGCAGCATGCCGCCGCAGTAACAACAACAAGCAGGCCATGGTGTCAAAAAAACTTCTTTACCGGCACACGTTTCGGAAGGACACGAGTCGTCAATTTACGTAGCTTTAGCAGCCCTAGCCACCCCCCACTCACATTACCCCCCCTCACCCTGATTCACATATTTCTATCTGCGAGCCCCCGCCCCCGCTCACGCAAGCGCACGCGCGGGCACCCACGTTCTGTTCACCTTGGTGTCTCCCGAAGCCCTGAGCCGTAGCCCCCTCGTGTCCATTCCCGCCCCCAACGACACGATCTGCAGACGTACAAAGGGCCACGGGTAGAGATACGTCCGGGTGAACGCCGTAGCACACGAGAGGTCTGTGCGGCCTTACTTGTTGGGGAGGGGGGGGACCGGGTTGACTGTGAGAAGACACGAGCGTGGATTGTATTGGGCTTTGGAGACGACCGGCCACGATCGGCAAGCTGAGTACCGGATTTGGGGCATCCTCCTCGTTACGAGCAACAGGCTTAAGGGTTCTCTCACGCAGCATGGAACCACCTGCATGCCCCCCCCCCCCGCCGCGCGCACTTGCGCCGATCAAACTTCATACCGAATGCTCCGTTATTCCTTGCAGGACGCAAGTGGACACCCCGCGCGCTGCTTGGCTGCTGTGGGGTAGGGCCTCGGGGACGTACGCTACGTGACGAGAAAACTAAGCGCCAAGACGCGCACTGCGACGGTCCGGACGAGGAGATAGATTGGGGTGGCGTCAGAGAGGGAAGCAGGAATGAATCGAATACAGGCTACGACCAAAGCCATCCAAGTACCTGCCCGTCATTCGGGCCATGCCCGTTTCTGTTTTTCCACCACCCCTCCGCAGGCGGGTGCAGTAGGGGACGTCGTTGCACAACGCCCGTCGCCGGTGAAATCGCATGTGAAGCACATTGAACATTCAAGCTGTCTCAAACTCTGAATAGCGCCGGGTGTCCGTCGTAAGGCTGGCCAAAACCCCTTGGCAACATGCGGGCTTAAACAGGGACCCCTACGTTAGGCTAACCCCCTTGACATGCCCCTCTTGGAACCGTATGGCCTCAAGCAAAGACCACTACGCTAGGCGAACCTGCTTGATGCCCCTCGGCCCTGCGCAGTCCTCAAAGAAGTCGTCGCAGAAGCGTGTGCGGATGGCCAGCCGCCTCTGGACGTCCCTAGGGACACCATCGCTTGCCGCGGCAGCGGTGGCGGCGGCAGTGGCTTCCAGAGGTGGTAGCGACGACTCCTCTTGTGCTTTGTCCTCGACGGTCTGCATGGCATCGGGACCGGCCTGAAGCAGCAAGTAGACCGGGGGGGGTACTCATGTAAACGCATGCCGTAGTCGTTGGCCCACTGACCTCGTATCCTTACATTGCCGGGACGGAGCAAAATGCCGGGTTTTCGCCGGTCCAGGCTACGTTTCACAAGCTGGAGGCACTGGGGTGGGGGGGCGATGCCGTTGGTATACCATTGACCTCGAGAGGACGGAGCATTGTTCCAACAGAGGACCGATCACCGATCGCCAGTCATTCCTTCCTATTTTGCCAAAGGTGGCTCGATTTTTTTGGTTTTGCCCAACTGTAGGCATTCGGGGGCGGGGGGGCGGGGATTAGATGGCCCAAGGAAAAAAAAAACGACGCAGAAAAGATATCGAGCGCCACCGTTACCAGAGGCATGGCAAGTGGTGGCGGTCCCGATCGAAACTACTTTTTGGCTCACCGAGGGCAAGCACGATACTGCTGTCACCAAGCGAATGGCATCCGATACGCACGACAGAATGGATGCGGTACGTGCATGCTCCGCACTGCGCGAGACTCCCTGAGCGAATGTGGATTTTTCCCAAGCGACCATGCGGACTAGACTTCCATATTTGAAACAAGTTCACACCCACTCACACAAGATACCACCGCCTTCTTCCACCGGGTGGCAATACTTTCAAGGGTCAACACGAGTCCGGAGTACAAAACTACTCGCACATCAAATCAAATGCCTGGGCGACACAAGCAATGTACCGCACGCCCCTAACGATAACACACCCCATAGTTGATGTATAAAATCCAAAGTGTTATCTATAGATTGTCGACGGGGTGTGTCCTCTTGTGTTGCAAGCACGGTTGGCTGTACACGCTTCGTTGCATCGAACGCCCCTCGCTACAGTTTAGCGTGTGGCTAGGGTATTACTAAGCTTGGCTTTAGAAGGGGATATGGATTTGGGTCGGGGGCTAGGGCTACGAAACCACCTAGCACTCTGTTTCACATACTTCATAACGCTCATCATTATCCTCGGGATACGGCGGTCCCCTCACCAGCAGCTCGGCGTAAGGGTCGTCGAACAAGCGGTCCCGGCGGCGCGACTCCAACGCTCTGGCCGCCGCGATCATCCGCGAGGAGTAAGCCACGGTGTCAGAGGAGGTCAAGTCCAGATTGCTGCTGCTGCTGTCGTTGGAGTCATCGCTGCTGCTCCCTGCATCACAATTCTCGTCTGCTGCCGACTCTGCTTTGGGAGGTGTTGGTGGGCTCACGGGCGCCTGTTGTACACGAACGCGCGGTCATCAAGAAGAGCATGGCGGACAGGGGGTCTAAGTGTCACGGATATGATCGATCACTTCATGATTTCGGCGGTGTTCGGCTTTCCCACTCCGCCACGGGAAGGCCGCCGCCGTAATTTGCTTCCAAAAACAACGGAGGACGAGGCGACCATGGAGACGCAGCTAGCTAGCACTACAATAGCGCTATGTTTCCAGCGAGACTGGGAAGAGCAACAAATTTTGCAGAGAACTCAACTACCGCTGTCAGACAATGTCGTTGCCTTGCAATGGTTGGTTGCAGGCACAGAGACACGCCAGACTGGGACGGGGAGGCACCACAAGAAAAAGGCGTTGCGGCAGAAAAAAACGTTCAAGCGCTCTTATGGACTTCCACCGCATTCGATCATTCTATGCGTTCCGTCAGGATGCGAAAGACGCATGGGGGTCGATTTTTTATTCGTTTCATTCTTGACTATCTACAATGGCAAGGGGGGGCGATATCACGGACCCGTCATATATCACCGATTCCCGCGCGAACATCGAACAAAATCATTTCGACCCTTGAGCTTTTATCGCACGGGGTGTGTGTGCGATATCTCCAACCGGTGCGATACTGAGTAAACTGAAACCCCTGCAGCAGTAGAACTGGTTGCTTTCAACGCACATCCCCGTGCGAACACTCCGATATGTGCGATACCCAACAAGTCACGGCCGCACTACAGGACAAACACACACATGTTTCATTGGTCAGCCGGATAGGGCTGTCGATGCAAATAAAAAAGACACACACACACACACACACACACACAACCATTTGGCCTCCGAAGCATGTTGCAGGGGGAATTTCGACGATGAGACAGCCTTTCTTCGCCTCAAGGCTGACCACACCAACAAAATTCGGAGACGGTTTACCTTCGAGCTGGCTCGTTTTCTGTCGGTACGAACTCGTGATGTTTTCAAACGTCATGGACTCCTAATCGACCAATTTCAACCACGGCCAATAGGTTGGGATTTCAGTAGTAGTTTGATGAAAGCGATAACGATGGTATCAAGGGCAATTATGTTGGCAGTGACGGAGACGAAGGGAAGGGAGAGGGAAGAAAGGAGGATGAAGGCGATAATGGAGTAGGAAAACATGGCATGAAAGAAAGCATTTTTTGTCTAGCTAGAATACCTTCTTCCTCACAACAAACGCCGCAGGACTGGAGAGGACCTGCCAAAAAGTGGTGGGAATATTGGAGACGGGTGGTGATAGTAAATGCAGGGACGGCGATGAAGAAAGCAATCCGAGACGAGCGACCGTCCAAAGTCGTAGTTGCCATGGTACACATGCACATGTGCTGTTTTCTTCTGTTATCGCTACAGGTATCTGTCCTTAATCCGGAAAGTAGTGTAGACTCCCCCACGATGCTCCGTCGCAGGGTCCCAGATCGTGGCCTTTAGAAGCATTTCGTGTATTCAACCACACTGAGACTGAGGTATTTTCATTGGTCAGCCGGTTAGCGCGGTGGATGCAAATAAGAAAGACGCACACAGAAGACACGCATCTTCTGAAACGTACATGCGTGCGCACTTGAACGTGGCGGAAAAAAAAGCGGCGAAATACATACGAAAACATCACGAGTGCTCGGTATCTTTCTCAGCAGAGTTTCGCAGCTGTAGATGACGACATCGTGTCATTCCCGGCGCTTGAGTTGGTTCCATGAATGAATACCGCGAAGGGACCAATCTTCTTATTCATTTTCCCGAGCAATGCCGCCATACGTTTTCACGATGAAACCGCGCGGCTCCGGTGCAAGGGGTACGCCGGAACCGCTCGGGGCACTTGTTATTGATCGGTGATATCGCACCCTCGTTCCCCCATGCGATATCCCGATATCACACCTACCATAGTGCGGAAACCGAATTAAAGCATTTCATTCTTGACAACATATATCATTATATCGCACGGGGGTGCGATATCTCCCGCCCATGCGATATCTCCGACCCCTGTGTTGACTCGCATCCTATCCTACTATAGATAAACTATACATACCGTATTTGCTGAAAGAGGCGATTTTTTTCATTACTGTAAGCCAGCTCTTGAGTCTGGATTGCCGCGCTTCAAATTGCACATACATACATCGTGGCCACGAAACACGGCTACATAGAGGAAGCCATTCGGGTGTGCCGGAACGAAGGTAGGGTGACACAAGACGAAAACGATGTATTATATCAAGAATCAAGTATAAAGGACTTTTTTTTTTTTTTCCTCCCGGGGGGGGGGCGGGTTCCTCTTGCGGTTCCGGATGGCACGCGCCGAACGTGCCACGTAGAAGGACACACCCGCTCATATGTACGGGTGTTAGATATACTCGCAGCAGTATCTGGTCGTGAGGATCCCAGGGGGATACGTGTTGGGAATTTCGTGTGTTGCAGGGTACCATCGGTGCGGTCACGGGGACCCTTTTGGGGTGGTTGGTGCGATGAAGCTTGCGTGCGTGCTGCGCTCACTTCTTCCTCTCTCTCTCCACCACCACCACCGTCTCTCTCCAATCAAGTTTCCTTCTCCCACTCTCTCTCCAACTCTCTCTCAATCTCTCTCTCTCGGCCTAACACGGCCGACTTCCCAGTGCCCCAAGTAACGTCCAGAACGTGCTTGCTGCACCCCGCGTAGTTTACCTTTCACACTAGTGCGATATCACGGTATCTGCGCGCGGGCGTAGCCATCCGGGGGTTGTGCAGTCACGCGCAATCGGTAGACTCCCACAACACCAAACACCATGGAGGACATCGACCTCTCCGCCCTCAGCGGGGAAGAGCTACAACAAAAAGTGGAGGAGATCGTCCAGCAACGAGTGCAAGCCGAACTCGAAGCCAACAGGATCAACGAGGGTGAAGTCACCATTGCCCAACCACCAGCCGGCAACCCAGCCACTCCAACCGGCAACCCAGTCCCACCTACTGGCAACCAACCATCACCCTCCAGCCAGGGTACACCAGCCACATTCAACGACCCCAGCAGCGTCGCACACATCGTGGCGCAAGCGGCCAAGGCGACAGCTGAGGCCATCGCTCAACAACAGGGCTTTGCCCGCTCAGGCACGTTACGTGTCAATCCAGGCTCAGAAATCGAACCTTGGCTTGGTAGTGTAAAGAAGGAGCAGGACTTGTACATTATGTTTGATATTTTTCGTGGTAAGATGATTTCATATTTTCAGGAGGAGGGTGTGCATGATGCGTTGGAACTGGAGGTCGAGGTCAAGGTCGGGAAGAGGGGTGTGAATGTAGGAGACCTTCGGAGACTTTTTGGAAATGAAGTGGTAGACAAGTCTTTCAAACTGTGGAATATCCTCATAAGCAAGGTTATGTATCCCCCGATTCAGAGCTTGATTCTGGCGTGTGAGAGTCCCCAAAAGGGCTGGAAAATAGTGACCGAGTTCTATCAGGAGAAAAAGCAGTCAGAAAAGTCGAGGTTGGAGCAGGACTGGAAGGAGTTGGAGATGAAAGAGTCCGAGAGTCCACAGGATTACATTGCCCGCTCAGAGGCCCTTCGCCTGCGTCTCGCATCTGTAGGCACGATTAAGGATGAAACAGATGCCAACAAAGACATTGCTCGTGGCCTTCCCTCTTCGTTGTATGCCGTGCAAAAAGGAATACTGCTTGCCCATGATGTCCTGACGTTGCGTACCCTTGAGACTGTGGTGAGGGACGCCCACGTGGAGATGGAGCGCGAGAGGAGCAAGGGGGAGAGGCGCGAGGTGGAGCTCGCTCTCGCCGCATCCGGCATGAGCCGGCGCGGCGGGGGCAGTGGGGGGGCATCCTGGGGTCAAGACGGCGGTCAGGCAGCAGCTGGCGGCCAAAATCGTGACGGAGAGAAGAAAAATAATGGCGTGTTCAACGACGACCCCGGCGGATTTTGCCGCTACCACCAGTCCGAGCTTCACACCAACGAGCAGTGTCGTCTCCAGCAGCAACTGCGGCGTGCGCGTTCGAGAGAGGGCGCCGAGGAACGTCGCTCGGGCGGCGGCAGCCGCGGTGGCGGCGGTAGCCAGCGAGGGGGTAGACCGCCGCCGGGACCCGGCCGCGGTGGCGGGCGATGGGTGAGGATAGAGCAGCAGCACCACACCGGTCATGGTGGCGGTGGCTGGAGCCAAGCCTCACCCCCCCCGCGACCTCTTCGTGGACGTGGGCCTGGTGGTAGTCTGGGGCGTCACCCGGGGGGTCGTGGGCCCGCGGGACGCCACAGCAGCGACGGGCGTGCCGAGAGAGATCGGGCAGGGAGAGGCCCGGGGCACGCGCGTTCTGGCCACGGAAGAGAGCAGGCGTACGTTGTGTACTACGCCCACGATGATGGTGGCTACTACGAAGATTACGGCGACTACGACGAAGGCTACTCCTACGACGACGGCTACCACGACGCCGGGTACGCCCACTACGCCGGCGGCGGGGACAGCTACAGCTACTCCTCCGGGTACGAAGACAGCCGTTCATCTGACGGCGGGATCCACTACGTCTACTACCCTCCCGCCGGTCAAGATTCATCATCCGAGCAGCCACGTCAGCCCCCCCCCGCGGGCAGCAGCAGCACCGCTTCCTCCTCGTCCTCTGCCCCTTCTCCTGGCGCGCCTCCATCTTCGGGCTACCTCCACCTCTGCACGGCACAATCGGTGCCCCTAGGCAAGTCTCACCCCGAAGATTTTTTTGGTAGGATAGGAGTGACGATTGGAGTTGAGTCTGCTGCGTCTGCTTCGTCTTTGCTGAGTGTGGAATCTAGTGAGGGGCCGCCTGGTAGCGAGAGATGGGTAGCTGATTCAGGTGCAAGCAACAGTTTTACCAACAGTAGTCTACACATGTACGATCTGCAGGAGATCCCCGCAAATAGGAAGTATGTCGTCGTAGGTGATGGTCGACTGCTAGAAGTGCAAGCTATCGGTAGCATCAACCTTAGTTTCTTTCAGGAGGATGAGAACGGTGAAAAAACGACGATGTGTGTTAAGCTGACTGACGTGTCTGTAGTAGAGAACCTGAGCTTCAATTTGTTTTCAACGCATGCAGTTTCTCGAAAGCAACAAATCCTGCACGACGAGCGTGGTGCAACCCTCCAAAATGGACTGCTATTTGCTAGGGAGGAAAAAGCGTCTGCAGCATATGCCATGCGCTTACCATACGACCCATCTGCAACTATAGTAGACTCTTCTGCTTTGCCTGCATTCGTGACTGCCCCCGATTCCGCCCCCGCCGTTGGCTCCACGCGTTCCCCTTCCCAAAAAGGGGGCTCCGCGGAATCATTGGTGTCCGTGTTGCGTTTCCCTCCCGCTGGCTCTGCTAGCGTAGTACCTTCGAGTGAGAGTGTCACGCCCGCTGGTCCCACCAGCGTAGTACCTTCGACTGATAGCGTCACGCCCACTGGTCCCACCAGTGTAGTACCTGCGAGTGAGAGCGTCCCGCCCGCCGGCTCTGCCGGCGTAGTACCTTCTTCGGCGTCCGAGTTTGTTTGTGTGGGTACTTTTCCGGGTATGGATCTTGGAGACACGAGTGTGCTCACCGACGAGCAGCTCATGGATGGCTATGATGACACCCCGTATCAAGAGTTTTTCCCCGCGTTTATCCCTGAGACTGATGCTGCGAATGTAGCTGCTGTTTTGGATAGCATTGATGGGGGTGCTGATTTTGACTTCGGTGCGGCCGCGCTTGGCCCTGGTGCGTCCCCGTTTGCTCTTGGTTCGACTGAAAAGTCCGTTGACATCAACCGCTTCCACCGCTCCCTTGCCCACGCTTGCGAGCCCCTTTTGAGAGAAACCGCCCAGCAGAGAGGCATCGTGCTCACCGGCAAGCTGGAACCGTGCACGGACTGCATGAAGGCGAAGGGCAGGCGAGGGTCGGTGCCGCGGGGGCCGGGAGCGCGGGCGTCCAAGCCACTCGGGCGTGTTCACCTGGACTTGTGTGGACCGCTGGTGCCTTCCCTGGGCGGCAACCTCTACCTGTTCGTCGCCGTCGACAGCGCCTCGCGGTGGAACAAGGTCTACGGTCTCCGGCGGAAGTCCGACGCGCTGGCGGCAACGAAAAGGCTGCTGGCGGACGTGGGGCGGTACGACCTCGGGCGCATCGAGTGTTTCCGCGTCGACAACGGCACCGAGTGGACCCGTGGCGACTTCCGGCAATTCTGCGACGACAACGGCATCGGCGTCGAGTTCACCCCGCCTGGCACTCCGGAAGTACAACGGCGTCGTCGAGAGCGCCATCTGGCGGATTATGAAGGCCGGCATGGCCGCCCGCCGCAGCGCTGGCCGTGTGTTCAACGTCGACTTCGCCTCCATCCCCGGCCTCGACGAGCGCGGTGACCGTCTTTGGATGGAATCGGCGAAGTGGGCCGCCGACGCTCTTAACCAGTCGGCGACCAAGGCCAACCCCGGGCGGCGCTCGCCGCACGAGATGTTCACCGGCGAGCAAGGGCCGTTCCGCGTGCTGCCGTTCTTCCAGCCCGGCTTCATGCGCGAGGATCGCCGCACCAAGCTCGACGACCAGGCCACCCTCTGCTTCTACCTGAACGGCGGCGACAACCACCCGAGCGGCACCGTCAAGGTCCTCAAGGCGTCCACCGGTTGCGTCGTCTACACCAACAACGTGTCGTGGGTGACGTCGGCGCCAGCCGGCGAGGTGGGTTCCGCTGGTATCACCGCTGCACCGACACCCCCCCCGTTCACGCCGCCGGTCGTCTCGATCAACTTTGGCCCAGCACCGACGCCTTCGACTGCCGCAACGCCACCTGCCGCAACGCCGCCGCCAGCGACCACGCCGCCGTCCGCTCCCACGCCTTCACAGCCGCCCTCTGCCACTTCGCCGCCACCGTCGGCGACCCCCGCCCCTGGCCAGCCGTCTTCTGCCTCTTCGCCGTCACCGTTGGCGACCCTCGATCCAGACCAGCCGCCGCCGCCGGACCCCGCGATGCCCCCGCTTACGGCTCACGCCATGCGGCAGCTTCGCCCGGGTACAAAGGCCGAGGGTATGATAGACCCGCGGCTGCCAAGCCGAACGAGATCGGGCACCAGGCACAGCACAGGACTCATCTCGATGCTAGACAAGAACACTCTGGTGTCGATGCTGGAGGCTCGGAGCGCGGTGGATGAGGAGCGCAGGGAGCTGGGGGGGGCGGAGGCCGGAGAGCCGGGGGGAGCGGGGGCCGGAGAACAGGCGGGAGCACTCGCAGCGGTGGACCCGGGGGCTGGAGGAGCGGGCTTTCCACTCGCATTTGCCACGCTCCTCGCCAACCGGGAAGACATCGACGCCACGCTGCGAGACCAGCGCCCGCCGGAGCAACGCCCTGACCTTCCTCACTGCCAGGCCAGCGACCTTCGTGTCCCCAAGAGCTACAAAGAGGCCATGGCGTCGGAGCACCGGCACCTTTGGAGCGACTCTATGCAAAGGGAGTTTTACGGCTTGTTGGAAGCAGGGACTTTTACTCCGGCGAAGTAGCAACTAGTGGAGAACGCAATTAACGCTAAGTGGGTATTCGATTGGAAGGCAGATGAATTTGGATGGCCCACTAAGGTGAAGTCGAGACTTGTAGCGAGAGGTGATATGCAGAGAGAGTACATTGACTTTGGAGAGCTGTACGCGCCTACCGTTTCTGTTTCGTGTGTTAGGATGTTGGCTGCGTTGGCGTGCGAGTTAAATCTCGACTTGTGTCATTTCGATATTGAGCAAGCTTTTGTGCGCTCGGAGTTGGAGGAAGACGTGTACATGCGTTTGCCACAGGGATGTGGAGCTCTATCTGGAATGATTGTAAAACTAGGCAAGAGTCTGTATGGCTTGAGACAGGCATCTAGGCAGTGGCATGCAATGCTGAAGAGGTGTTTAGTGGCGTTAGGTTTTGAGCAGTGCATGGCCGATGCTTGTGTGTTTCGTTTGATTGAGGATGGATGTGTTGTTTTGATTTTGGTAGTACATGTAGATGACATTTTTGCTGTGGGAGAGAGGGAGAGATGTGATAAGTTTGGCGCCGACCTTAACAAGTCCGTGCCAGTGAAGAACCTGGGAGAGTTGAGATGGTATTCTGGGTGCTTTTACGAGAGGAACAAGGGAAACGGAAGGTTGACGATTTC